AGAGCGCGACGGCGCGCTCGGCGTCGTCCTGGGTCGCGAGGAGGACGGTGCCGTGGCCGCGGCTGCGGTTGTCGGGGCCGAGCGCGACGTCTGCGCGCAGGACGGTGCCCGCGCGGCGGAAGAGGTCCTTGAGGTCCTGCCAGCGGACGCGGTAGGGGAGCTGTGGGGGGCGCGCGAGTGAGTGAGGCGCGGTGCGGGTGAGAGAGGGGAGGCGGGAGGCAGCACACTCACGTTGCCGACGAAGAGCTGGGTGCGGGTGTCGCGGCCGCCGGGGGGCGGGGCGGCGGCGGCGGAGCTGGTCATGGCCATCTTGATGACGGCCTCGATGTCATCGTTGGAGGGCGGCGGCGGCGCGTTTGCGGGGCTGGACGTGGTGGTCGGGTTGGTGGTGGACGAGGGGGCGGATGAGCCTGCGACGGACGCGGGATTGGAGGCGAGGAGGGTCGGGCGGGCAAAGGCACTGGCGGGGGAGCGCGGAGAGACGGCGCCCGAGGCGGGTGTGCTGGAGCCGAGGTTGGAGAGGGCGGAGAGGAGGGGCGTGTGGGCAGAGGCTGCGGGGGAGTAGATGACGGACGGCGGGTGGTGGGATGGCGGGAGTGAGTGGGGCGAGGACGCGGGGATGGGGCGATTGGGGTCCTGCATGGGGGGCGGGGTCAATAGTGGCTCGTCGGGGTAATGGGCAAAGGCACAGACAGCGATGGGCGCGAAGGCCGGGGCCATCATCGCGCCTCGTCAGCGGCCGTCGGGCGGTTGGCTGCGGCGGCTGGGGCAGAACAGGCGTGTGTCGAGGGCGACGTGCGAGTGCCAGTGCGAAAGCCGGGAGGAGTGCGCCAGAAAGGAAAGGCGTGCGGCGAGGACGACGACGAGAGCAGATACACGCGCGGCGGGGCAAAAGACTGAGCCTGGCGTCACCGCGCTCGTCCCGCCAACGTCCTCCCTCCACACGTGTCGTGACGTCACATCCCCCATCGAGGGCGCGTCTCGCGGGCGTCCTGCTCGACGCGGCGGGTCACTCGTCGCCAGCTCGCCGGATACACCGTGCCGGGCACAGCGCATGCACCCCGCGGGTCATCATGACGTCGCCGCGCACACAGGTCCCTCTTCTGGCTCACGCGACAGCAGCCCGCCGTGCATTTATCCTCCATCCGTCCACGCTCGTCGGCTCCGCAGCCAATGGCAGGCCCTGCAGTCATCCTGCGCGTTCTCATCCTTCCACGATCGCAAATGCCCCAATCCACAGACGATCGTTCAATGGCGCCCTGCTTTCACACCACTCCGCTCTTCTCTCAATGGCGACGCCTTCGTGTCCTCCCTCCTCACCATATACCAGTAGCTACAGTGCTCCACAATAATCCGCGCGTTCCATCGCACGTCGACCATGACGCCGCCCGCGCACCGTTTCGGGTTCGACACTCGCCCTGCCCCGCAGCTCTACACGCGCGTCTCCCACAACCACGCATGATCGCAGCCGTCTTCTGACAAGTCAGTCCAACAACGTGGCCATCAATCGCAGTACTTAGCATCACGCTCATGCTGTGCTTCGACTTCAATGGCGCCGTGCGTGTCCACAGATCACCGTGCTGCCTTCGCTCTTCATGCATTTGTTTCATCTACCGCGCAATCTAGCGCACCCTTCAGTCGTTCATCTGGCGTATACCACGTCTCCGCATGCTGCAGTTCCCCACGCAATGATACGGTGCCAAATAGCCCCCTTGTCACGGCAATAAACCGCAGGCCGCCCTGCACACCAGAGTACATCGCACAAGAATACAGTGTAGTAACAGGACCCGCTACTGCCAATGTACATACCAGCTGCCCTCTCTCAGCTCCCCCGCTGTGACATCTCAACCCGAAGGACGCCGGGGGGAACACACGCCGGCAAGAGGGACAGCGCGCGGGCAGCAGGGCACCCATGCGCGAGAGCACGGCTGCGGCATGTACGCACACATACGCAAGGTGCACGCCGGCATCTGACTATGACTATACCCCCGCCGCAGACCGCTCACGCACCGCGCGCACTATCAGGTCACAGGGGCTGCCACCCATCACACCGAGCATGCCAAGCTTCACGTTCCTCCCGCAGCCCTCGCCTGCCGTGCCCCCACCCATGGACCAGACCACCAGCCGTGCGAACGCAGCCGCCGCCGCCCAGGGGCAGAGCCATGGCCATGCACCCACGGGGTACGACGCGGGCCGTGCGATGCTGCACGGGCACGGGCACGTCATGTCCCCCTTCTCCCCCTTCTCTCCGGGCGTGACGATGTCGCCCGGCGCGTTCTGGGGCCGCCCCGGCAGCGGCGCGGTGAATCCGTACATCAACCCCGCCGTCGGCGCGCCGGTGCACGCGCACCCGATGCCGGGGAGCCCAGGCAGCTACTACTGGGCGCGCACCGGTGGGCGAGGCGAGGCGGGCGCGGAGGAGCCGCAGGGGTACTTCCCGCCTGTGCCTGTGTCGATGGCGATGGCGCAGGGCCAGGCGCAGGCACAGGGCGCAGAGGGGTACTTCCCGCCTGTCCCGCCGAGCGGGAGCACGGGCCCGGCGCGGTCGAGCGGGCTGGCGAACGAGATTAGGCGGGGAGACAGCGGCAGCAACAGCGGAAGCGCGAGCGCGAGTGCGGACGCGGGGGCGAGCGAGGCGAGCACCGACCGTCCGGAGGCGCATGCGCGCGGGCGGAGGCCGGAGCAGCCGCGTGTGGATTCGTCGAACAGCGGGGCGACGACGGACACGGGGACGGGGACGGATGCGAGTCCGCGGCCGCCGAGCTCGGAGGGGACGTCGTGGCATACGGACGACAAGGCGCACGCGAAGAGGGTGGGCGGAGTGTGCGATGCGGTGGAGGGCATGGAGGCGCTTGCTGTCGCGGACGGTGAACATGGTGTGCCTGACAGCAGCGGATCGGCAAAACCGCGCCCGTTCTCGGACGATGCGCAACAGCAGCAGCAGCAGCAAGGCACGTCGTCACACCCTAAGATGCAGCGCGCGGACTCCGACCCGGTGCGCTCGGGGAGCGACGTCAGCAAGGTTGGCCTGGGCATCAACATGCCGGGCTCGGGGAATTCGCGATAGAGATACTGGTTCGTGGATATCCTGGGTAATTGTACGAGGTGAGGTTCCGGCATCGGTTTAGGATACTGCAGGCCCGAAAACGACTGGGGGGCACGCGGGTGCATCCCTTTGGTTTCTTTATTATCATACTACTACTACAGCAACGACAGTTACATACAGTGCACGTTACCCTATT